TGAATATGAGAATGGTTAACAGACAAAATGTCAGGATTCTACTTCATTTTCTCAGAATTTTTAAATGTAAAGAATGGCTCCAAAATACAGGGCATACTCGCGGTTTTGTGAGTAACGCATACTTGCTTTAAGAATAACGAAATAAAAAAATTATAATCTTAAAGCTGTTAAAAAGTTCAGCTGTAAAAATCAATTGACACAGTTCCTGGCATTTCAAAGGCAGTTCAGGATATAAATAAGAGTTTCTAAACTCTGTTTATCTGTTAAACTAAATTATCAATTTAAAAGGGTTCAACTAAAATTTAGGATGTTCGCCAAGTTTCTCAGAAATCTCGACCCTCCAAAATTATGTTATAAAACTCACCGAACTGAGAAGAAGCTTCTTCAACATATTATCGGACCAGCTACCTTGACTGGGTTCTCAGAATTCCTATAATTATATATTGGTTGTTTTATGGGTGAATACTCAATTTTTCGTAAAAGTACTCAGTTAGTGAAGCACTAATATTCTTTTTCTAGATGTCATATCAACATAAAGACATCATTTGTCTTGTGGTATATTTGTTTATTTGTTTGTTTGTTTGTGTTTGTGTGTGTGTGTGTGTGTGTGTGTGTGTGTGTGTGTAGATAAAAATATTTATCAGTAAAACAAACATTTTCTCTTGTGGGTTGTGTAAAAAGAAATACCGTATATGCTGGCGTACAAGGCGATCTCCAAATTTTCAAGTTAAAATGTCTAGCTATATTCGCCGTATAAGACGACCCACACCCAAATCGTATCTTAAAATTTATTGTATTGAATTTATTAAATAAATTCAGTAATCTTATATTTTCTTTTCACTCAAATTCTAATGTAAAAATGGTGTTGAGATATTGTCAATTAACTACCCCAATATACAATACCTCATGAGTGCGGGCTATTACGATAACTTGAATGACATTTCCCCGCTAACCAAAATCCAAATCATGTTCACCATCTGATATCATAAGTTTATTAATGACGTTTTGTGGTATATTTGTAAGGCAATCATCGTATAGATCAAATTCGGAACCGAATGGCGTGGCTTCAAATTCGTCTTTCATACGATCCAATGGATTTAATAACCCACACTTCTTGAAAGACTTGATTACTGTTTTTACGTCGTCTTATAACCTACCATTATATAGATCATTCCAGGCTTTTAAGACGAAGTCACACAACACTTTCAACTGTGGATCACGCATATTGCCTCCTGCTGTGAATGTTTTTTTCTACCCCTAACCATCCACTCGTCCCACTATTCTCGAATGCGATCTTTAAACAGCTTGTTGAGAGATACATCCAGTGGTTGTACTAAAGATGAACAACTGCCACGTCTGTGTTTATTCTTGCTCGCCGTTTCTTTGTGTTGGTAGTTAAATGAGGGTTGAACATATGCCATACTAACATGCTACCTTGTTTACTATGTCCACATGGTCACTAACTCTTTACATAATCAAGACATAGCTTAATCCCTTCTTCATTCATCCATCCTTTTTTTGTTGACATTTACAAACACTCCAATAAGGAGCTTAGTTTTCGGTATTGTTTTCCTTTTAAAAATTATCATTGGTTGTAGTTTGGAGTCACACATTCAAGTACCACTGTAAAACTTGATTTTAATTAACACTGTTTTTGCACCTTTTGAGTTAACAGTTTTATTTCCAACCATATCGAAATTCATAGGGTTTTCATCCATATTCCTATATGTAACTTATAGGCATGCCCCTTTCGTAGTTGGTGTTTACATATCGATAGAAGATCATTATTTTGCTGCCGGTAATTTTCGTACATTTTTACAATTTCTACATCATAATCTTTGCATTTTGATCATTTTTGAAGATCTTCAAGATACATTACAGTCTTCAGAGACTGCCATGTCAATAAGAAAACACATTCTACTCTTGTCTTTGATTACTATGCCTGAGTGGTTGTTCTCTCTGTGTGTACTATAAAGTCCCATAAAATTGTTACAGGTCCTATATCTGGAACCAGGTCTGGCTGAAATTAATACAAATTTCTTTCCAATGCATATATTGGCCAACCCTATTATGTCGAGTTTTATATTCGGTGGATGTTAATACTATGCAACTTTGATACAACATAGTCAATAGTTTCTAGATATTCATCACAGAATCTGCATTTCGAGGTAACACAGTCTTTCAGCATATTTGTTAAGCAATTTCTAGATCACATATATTTGTGCTGTGCAGCAACAATATAACATTCGGTTCCAGCATTATGCATTATGCAACCACCGATTGGTATGTGATATGTCTACATCAGCTTGCTTAGCACGACCAGGGTATTAGCCATGAAGATGTTTATCTTGTCATCGTTTCTGCATTATTATTATTATTGTTGTTGTTGCTGTTGTTGAAATATATACAAACTAGCAGGGACAGATGGCGATGCCCAATGAAAATAACTTCAAATATAACAACAGAAGAAAATGTGTAGTTTAATATACAGTGTATGTCCGTGTACAAGGCGGCCTTTTAACCCCACCCCCCACCCTCAAACAAAATTTTCAAGGTATAAAATGTGAACCTTAATCCTGTTGTTTATGGCAAGTTGTTAGCATGGGGGATTTTTGACGGTAGGCTAATCCCTGCTTTGCTAACTATCGACACTCATATTTTCTACTGAAGCAACTCACTTCATTTTATTATAACAATATAATAAAAGTGTAGTGTAATAAAAATACTCTTACCTTATATAATATGCGGTTTGATTGTACGACAACAATAAAACGCATACTCATCAAGAGAGAAATTCAAAACCATCGTCACACACTGTAAAAATGTAACTGCAAACCAAATAATAATAATAATAATAATAGTAATAATAAATTGTTCTCACAAGTACAGCCCACATCTTACGAAGGGCTTTATCTATGTAAAATATGTGTGATTTCTTTTCAAAAATGCTCAGTGGAAAAGCTCATGATGCCACTTCTGACCTTAGATCTCTGGTTGAAACCCGGAAAAAAATGCGTATACACCAGAAATCAAAGTAAATAATAATAATAATAATAATAATAATAATAATAATAATAATAATGTATGCTTATTATATGAAATTTATGTATCTCTAACACTTTTGCAATTAGTTTGAGAAAACTACATTCCGATAACGAATATTGCGATTAACAAATAACATGTATGTCATGTTTGCGTTAAAGACATTTTCGGTTGTTGTGTTCCAACCAAAAAGAACCAAAGATACCAATGAAAAAATCAATGAGATTAAAATGCAATATATCATAGTTGAATGTTTGTCAACTGAGTTATAAAAACGAAAATGTTTAGTTGCAAGGTCAAGGCCATCTTCTCAATAAATATCCCTGTTAATCTTTTTTCTGTTGCTACACGCAAACATACATTAATCTAGCGGATGCAAACTGAAACTATTTAACAGGATCTATTTTCGATGGCTACAGAAGAACTGATTGAATGCAACTTAAAGTCATCAATTTCTATGAAAATAGGTTTTAAAAAAGATGCAAGCGATATCCAAGTCTACAGACAAAAACATCCATAGCTAAATTAATAAGTCCAATATAAAATAAATAAAAATAAGTACAGGTAGAATCAATTTGCTAAGATTTGGGGGGGGGGCATAGTGTGAGCAGTTTCGAAATATTCTTTAGTAAGTACATAAATAAAATTATGATAATCTTCAATTGATTTTAGAAGTTAAAATTACTTTAACAGTGATTTCTCCGAATTTGTGTTAGATTTTACAAATATATAAACACACGGGCTGTCTGCTTTTAGTAAAAATAGAGGATAATCTGTTTGCTGATGGAAACTTATTAATATATACAGCTTGTGGGATACCCGGTGTTGCCCGATTAAAATAACTCCGAAAATAACAACATATGTATAGTATCATTAGAGACTTCTGTCGTTATGATGGTGCCACAGTCAAACTCAAGCGACAAGGCAAAATAGACTTAACTTTTGGCATGAAGGCCACTTGTGATATAGTCTATGAAAAATTCGCCTCGAATATTATTTCTATATTATTAGATGTTACATTTGATGACATTTTTCAAAGACAAAAGCGGATATTCCACTAAATTCATATATTTCATGATTATATTAGGTCTTCACCCAGACTTGGTAGATAGTGTGACCATAGTAGAAATCGGAATAATAATAATAATAATGAATGAATGTCATGTTACTACACCTGGTAGGTGGCTCACGGCATCTGATCTTAAGCGATTTGAGGTGTAAACATGTATATATTTTGTGAAGGTGAATAAAGACAGGCTACAGTAAATATCCAGACTTGTTAAACAAACTGGTCACGCCAGATTATGCTCTCTCTCCAAAAAAACTGCAACTAAAGCCTGCTCAGCATAGCAGTAAATACCACAGGTGTATTAAGTAGGCGTCTATAATAGATTTTGGCTAACCAATCTGGAAGACAGGTGGATTCGGAAACGAATAGTAACTAGTTATTTATAGAATTAAATTTTTGTATATCTAAGTGATGCAGTTAGTTTTCAGGAAATTACATTACGGTAAAGATTTAGAGCGAGTTTCAATTTATCAGCTTATTTTATCACTTATCAATTAAAAAAAAATGAAAAATAACAGAGAAATCATTTTCGTCATCATAATTTTCTTTCTCGAAATAATTAATAAAATTCTTCAGCTGCAATACTGTCCGGGCTGTTCGTATTCAATAAAAACAACTATTTTCTTATGAACTTTGTAAATGCATTTAACTATATCGTACTTGGGGACATGACAGAAATTTTTCTGGGCGCCTGAGATAACCGAGACTTTGTCTCTCATCAAGGATTCTACGATTCAGCGTTCTATTTGTTTAGGATATAAAGCGTCTGTCTGGCTCAGAACGAATAGATCAACTTATCAATTCTTATTGAATTTATTTTTTTCGTTAAAATAATTTTTCTTTCTTTCTTTCTTTCTTTCTTTCTTTCTTTCTTTCTTTCTTAACTCAGAATTTTCTTTTTTTCATTCATTCATATCTATTTGACTCATTCCCATTCATTTCTTTCTTTCTGTGTTCTCCTCTCCTCCATTCTTTCTTATTTTAAATTTTTTTCTATTCGTTTCCATTTTCTCCTTTATTTTTCTTCTTATTTCTCTCTCCTTTTCCTCTTATACTTGGTTAGTTCTTCTTTTCTCCACTTCTTTCTTTTATTCTCTCGTTCGGCCTTCCTACATATTTTAATGTTTCTTCTAATTTCTCTACTCTTGTCACTTTACATTTCTCTTTTCTTCATTCTTATCTTTTCTGTTTTTCCTTCCTTTTTCAAAGTCCTGTTCTTTCTCGCCATTTCATTTGTTTCTCTCTTTTCACCTTTCTTTCTTCTCCTGCAATTCAGTCCGCTTTACATGTCTCGTCCGAATCACTTCATCGACTTCCGAAAATAAATGCATCCCTGTTTGTTTCTTTCACGATCCGTTCCTTCTCTTTGCTTTTCAAAGGCCCAACTATTGATTTCTTTCCATATCTTCTATCGCCTCTCCGCCACTTCCAAAACATATCCGCTTCACAATATTGAAAAGAATGATCGCGGTGGAACGGCACAAAAACAAGGCAGCAACATTCAGTTGTCATGAACGAAGAACAGAAGCAAAACAGTTTTCAGGCAAATTTTATTGCTGGAAAGAATCTGGCCTATTTTATGAATTATAACTAAACCAATGCATCAAGATAAACATCTGAAAATCACTTCCTCAGCACTTCGAGCAAGAAGGATTCGTCTAAAAATATTAAATTACCAATAGTGTTAAGAATATCATATTCACTGATTGAGTTTTCACAGCATTATTATTTGGCGACTTTCTCTAGATATCAAGTAACAGAAAGTTTACTCAACATACCAAATACTTACGGCAACATCACGTTGAAACACCAGTTCCCGTACGATCAGCGAAGTTAAACAACGTTGAACATGGCCAGTACCTAGATGGGTGACCACGTGGGAATACAAGGTGCTGTAAGCTTGAATGTGAGGGTAGTGTAATAATTAATGATACGGATATGCTAATCGGACAGCCGAATTCCAATTCCAGATTGGAGTTCCAATTCCAGTTTCACTTACGCGGAAATATCCTTCGAAAAGCAATGAATCCATCTCCCTCCCCCACAGATATGGGCTAATTAGTAAGACTTGTATTGCAAAATTATTATTATCTCAAAAGTTCTTACTATCTAAAAATATTTTATGGCATTAAATAACCTTCAAAGGGTTGATAAGCCATAGAAAATTAATCAATCCACCAGTAAAACAATCAACATTCTAACTCTCTTGTCGAAATTCCTACTGATTCTTAATTCTTGTTAATTTTTTGCACTTCCGGACTGTTAGTAGTTCGTTGATAATGATGGGTAAAACTTTTACTTTCATCTCCCAGAATTTTTCCTCTGTTTCCCATTCTTTCCATTCAGACACATACAGGTTTGCTTTTCTTTGTTTATGATTACTAAATATGCTGTTCAATACAAGATTAGTAATCCGTTTGAATTTCAAAGTCTCATAGAACAACCAGTAGTAAAACTTATAGACTGTGTTTATAATAATATTGGATTTGAGTCAAATCCTAGTCGTTTGCACAATTACTAGGCGATCTTTTTTCCTATTCATTCATGTTTACTGTTTTTACTATTTCTGACTAGTGAAATAACTTATCATTGAGAGTTTTGTCTCTCTCTCTCTGCACTGAAAAAATAATATTCTAATGCCTTCTCTATTTGCATATTCCGCGCACACACATTTTAAACACACGCACGCGCGTGCGCACAAACACATATGTGAGTGTGTGTGTGTGTGTGTGTGTGTGTGTGTGTGTGTGTGTAGGGTGCGATGATTAAATTGTCACTATTTTATATTTTTCATTTCGTGCATGAACGTTGTTTGTTTTTGAATCTGTCGATGACACAGAATAGTAAGGTCGGTTGGGCACCGTCTGTGAGAAAAAGAACACCATGACGCAATTCAGTCCGACAGAAATTTTAGAACAACATGCAGTGCAATACAAACATTTCAGAGCGTTTGAGGGTTAATCTGAAGACATTAATCTAATGCTGATTACGAAAGTACGGAGATTCGAAAAAAAATCACTCTGATCACTCTGATAAGAAAAGAACCCTTGAATTTGTTGCTGAGGATCTCAGACTCAATAGGAAGACTATATCAAGTGCCTTGAGGAGGTAGTGTTCACCTGGGTCAAGCAGGTGTCTGCTGGAAGACCCTATGTCTGGCAACAGAACTCTGCATCATGTCACACAAAGCAGGAGAACCCAGTCATGGCTGTCAGACAATTTATGCGACCATATCACCCCTTAGATTTGGCGCACCCCTTACATGTAGGGCGCACTTGTGCGAGAGGCCAACAAAACTCCCTGTAACACCAAAGATGAACTGAAGGCAAGGATTATGGCAGTAATGACCAGCTTAAACAAGGAAACCCTCCAGAAGAGTTGAAGGAGATTCCGAAGTTGTCTGGTTGAAGACAATGGCGATTTTACTGAATAAATTTACTCTGTAGTATTTCAAGATATTTTTGTGTAATTTTTGTAAACATATCTGTTAAAATGAGATGTCAGTATTATTTTCATTTTTTGCGTAATTTAGATGACAATTTATCCATCGGACTCTGTATACATACATACATACATACATACATACATACATACATATATATATATATATATATATATATATATATATATATATATATATATTTGTGTGTGTATGTGTTAGTAGGATATAAGAACATAACAAAAGTGGAGAAATCAAAGTAGAAGAACTTTTATTGACAACGTGTTTTGTTTCCAACAGACATTAAGGGCTTTAACTTAAAACAAACATAAACACACAAATCTTTTTGTGTGTATGTGTGTGTTTTTCTGATCTAAAGATTCCTACCTAACCATCTACAAAGGTGAGACGCTTTGTCAGTATAAAGGTTTTCCACTTTATGTGTGTGCGTGGGGGGGTATTTGCTGAATATTTCTTTACTCGTTCTACTAACCCTCTCAACAAACAGATTTGTATTCCTTTCTTTGATGATTTGGCCGATAACTTTAAAGTCAATTCAAATAAATATATTTATGTATATGCAAAAATTTAGTGTATCTTCAAAGACGAGATTAATAAAAGAAATGATAAGAGGAAAGCCTTTTACATCAACGCGTTTTGTTACTTGAGGAAAATTATTACGGCATGTGTAGATTTTTTTATTTATTTTAAATACAGATTCTAAATAACATTTTCGACATTTGCTTTAGTACAGATCCCCAAGGAACGTAAGTCGTCGGCTTAAAAGATTTGTTTCTTAACATTATTTTTATTGACACCCAAAACACTCACTCACTCTCACTCACACACACACACGCACATACACACATATATGCACACACACACACACACACATATATATATATATATATATATATAAGGATATTACATCGAAAATATGTAATATCCTAAAATAAATAATAATATAACATGTAATATCCTAAAATATTTGTATTGAGCCCTCTTTTAAATTAAATGTTAGGAACGTTGGTATTGTACTCTATTCGTTCTCATCATACATGGATATATATATATATATATATATATATATGTGTGTGTGTGTGTGTGTGTATGTGTGTGTGTGTAATTTTTCTTGAATATTACTCGCTTACTTTTTACTAGACATTGAATTATAATACTTTTTGTCCTCCGCGTTTTGACTGACCTTTTAACCACCTGATGACTATTCATGAACTTTCTCAAATTTTAAAAGCCTTGATAATCCAGTGATGTTCTTGCTTTTGTATATAAACACATGCAACAAAAGATAAAATCTTACATTGACTTTGATAAAGTCCGTCAGAGAATAAAACACGTTATCTAAGAATAGTTTTTCTACTTTTTATTCATTTTCTTCCTTTACAGATACATTCTAAATGAAAATAATTTGCTCACACACACACACAATGTATATGGATAAAATACACAAGGGAACGCCTTCAGTCGACACTTTTCGCTCTTTTTTTTATCTTGATACTCTCAAGCAATCTTAAAATCTCGAGTAAGGTTCGAACTTGAAGATGCAACGTCGGTAAAGATTCTATACCATGCTTTTCTTTCTTACTTTTTAAGCCACGATTTGCCTTCTGTAGTTTTATGCTTTTCTTTCACTGAGTATTGATTGGCTACCTGTCGATGTAAGACAGATCTACTATTAAATGCAAAAGTCCAATAATTCTGGTGTTCGAATCTGTCGCGTATCGCCCTCTAAAAATCTTTTCTTTCCCGGCAACCAATTTGATAAATGTCCTCTTTCGTGACCTCTCGTTAGTCGACATTCATTCAAAACTGACATGTCTCTGGATAAAGGCCGACAACTAGCTCAACACCACCTTCTCCAGTCGACAAGATTCAATAGCTTTTTGGAGAACATGCGTGATGTCTACATCAACTTGGATCGTCTGCCGGTCTTCAGTCATGTCTCAATGTTTAGAACAACAATCACTTGCAAATACAGCCTTAACGGCAATGGGGGAAAACTGTTGTGATTGGTGTAAATTTGCTGCTTATTATTATATAAACTTGAGCTTTATTCAATATTGCCACGCTGCATTCCAATGACACGAGAAATACTAAAAATGGTAACGGTTTAATTGAATCTTCTCTCAAAAGAATGGCGTCCAAGATTTAATAAGTGCATGTTTAATATCATATAAAATCTGAAGCTGATTTTTGTTTTTGTCTTCAACAAATGCAATAAACACGATAAGGCTCTTATTTTCCAGAGTGGTAGCGGCATAAACTAAAAGTTTCTATATATAAACATTATACTCTATAGAATTTAATTTATGGAAAAACAACAACGAATTAACGTCATATATAACCAACTTACACCAACTTATATATTATTCCAAATTTACATAAGCAGCTAATATATTAATTTATTTCTCCTGTTTCTACTGTACACAAACAGAAAACAATGTCTATAGTTTTATGATGAAAAAGATGTCTCTGTGGTCTGCAGTGAGATTTTCAGTTACAACAGACTTTCTCTTTTTCCAGGCATTTTTGCTGATAGCTTCTGCTATTGTCAGGTTTATTTTTAATAAATCAATTGGTCTTCACGTTATTTCTGTCGACCTTGTGTTGACTGTTGTGCGAAAATCTTATATATTTGCATATATATATATATATATATATATATATATATATATATATATATATATATATATATATATATATATATGTATATATATATATATATGTGTGTGTGTGTGTGTGTATAAATCGGATTAAAGTAATGTTTACGTTGATGTAACTACATAGATAGATAGATAGGTATCAATGCATGTATGAATGTATGTATGCACACACACACACATACATATATATATATATATATTTATGTATATACGATTGCTTATTCAAAGATATGGATTTCTGCTACAGTTATGGGCACTTATTTTTGATCAGTATTGTTTAATCGTTTTTAATAAATAAATTCACCTGAGCTTAAAACTCAATCCACAATATACATTTTTCTCTAAATTTATGATAAAAGGCGAATATTAATAAAACGAATAGTTTTTCTTGTGTAATTAAATCAGATAATGATTAATACTGTGCAGTTTTCTCTATGTTCAGTTCTTTCGAATAATGTGGTTTGCTTGATTCTGCATAAGCCTTCAGCACCATAATCAAATCATATATGCAGGTAATCTCGATATATATCTATCTATCTATCTATCTATCTATCTATCTATCTATCTATCTATCTAAACACATACTACACACACACACACAAACATATATATATATTTATATGCGCGGTACTTAGTGGAAAGTGCTCAATATCTGTGATAGAGCTATTATATTCAGTTGTATGGTATTAGTTTGTAAAACAGGGTTTCACACTTTTGCAATATAAAGACAAACTGGTTTAATTTTTATAAAGTGCATCTATTTATGCTTATTTGTGGAGTGGAGGGGGGATTTTTCTTCTGTGTTTGTTTGGGATGACACAGAAGAAAGCCCCACCTCCACCACACAAAATAATCAAACACAAATAAACATAAACAAAAAAAATAAACCAGTTTGTCTGATGATCGCAAAAGCGTGAAACCCAGATTTACACACAAATATCCATACAACTATATATATATATATATATATATATATATATATATATATATATATTATCTAAAATATTTAAATGTGAACTATGAAATAGTATTTATGAATGGCTATCTTTAAAATTATGTGAAATTATCAATAAAATACATTAAGTTATTATTGCAACTTGTTGCGATAATTTTGCTTGTCCTAAGCTACGTAAACCGTAGTAGGTTCATGTAAGAATCAGCATTAAGTGAAGCGATAACATTTGTCTTAACTGTTAATGGTGGAATAAAATAGAGCATCATAAATTACCTTGTTATCCTAGACACTTGCTGTTATTGTATTTTATGTACGTGGTGTTTAATGATATTTTACAATCGCAAAATGATTGATATGATTGTTATCTTGGTGAGAGGGATTGATAGTAGCATATTGTTGTGTGCAATAATTCTTCAGTATGTAACAAGTTTCGTTCAATTGCTATTATGTTCTTAAAATAAATAGAGAAAGATTATTTGTTCGAATCAGACAATCATAAATAATTCTTTAGATATTGTTTCCGAATTCAAACATTCATCATATCTACAATATATCTGTATTTTATAACGAACTATCGAAAGAAAATCTACGATTATCATCAAATATATATATATATATATATATATATATATATATATATATATATATATATATATATATATATATATATACATGAATTATTCACACAAAAACTAATGCAAAGGTTAATGATTTAAATGGCGAGACATCCATCATCGCAAACAATTCAAATAATATACAAAACCTCCGTATCCGTTATGAATGAAATGATCCTTGTTTATATAAATTTCTGCCGTATTAGTTCTTATTTTACTACAAGCTTTCGTCTGTTCCTACAGACATCTTCAGGTATAGAATAGATGTTGTTCTTGTTTTTTCTCTTAGTAATAAGAGGACAACGAAAATATATGTATTGTTGTATCCGAAATGCTATTGAAAATGAGTTATTGTTTTTTGAACGCGCAAAAGCAACGCTGAGTTTGATTTTAAATTTTAAAGGTTGTGCGTTCATATAAAATATGGTGATGAACAAATATTTGGTTGGATAGATGTTAGTTTTTTACGTTTTTGGCGATCGTCAGACAAACGATCGCCAAAGCGTGAAACCCAGGGTCACAAACTCACATCTATCCAACAAATATATATATATATATATATAATATATATATATATATATATATATATATATATATATATATAATGTTATGAAACATATAAACATAACAGAACAACGTGATAACACGAACTTTCAAGTGAAGACAATATATTTGAAAATGATGGAAATGATAGAAAGAAACAAGTCTTTGATAAAAGCTTATGAAAGCCGAAAGTACTCAGATTTTGTGCAATTTATATTAAGAAGATAGGAATATTTTATTTAGGAAGATAGTCCGAAATCAAAAAAATATAAATAAAAATCATTAAGAAATAATTTTCGTTGTTTACACACGCGCGCGCACGCACACGCGCACACACACACACACACACACACACACACACACACACACACACATATATATATATATATATATATGTATATGTGTGTATATGTGTGTGTGTATATGTATAAGCATATATGTAAATAAAGGCAGTCACACAGACGAACAGGACAGAGAGACAGATTTCTGTAGTCATACATTTTTCAGGGCAGATTTAGCTTTAGCTTTGCGATATCTTTCTAAATCAGTGTTTGTCAACCTTTTTTTTTAAGCAACGGTATACCTAGGGAGGCACGGTGGAGTAATGGATAGCGATTCGGAGTGAGGAATCGGAGAACCGACTCCGAATTACATTCACTTACGTACTAATACCCTTGGGAAAAAAAATCATTTTCTTCTCTCAAAGCTATGGGTAAATAGCAGGACAGGCCTAATTCTATAGTCTTGGAGGGCAAATAGTCTACTGCAAAAATAATTGGCAACCAACTGCGGGAAAAATTCTGCCTCATCAGTCATGTATCGAAAGATACATGATCGTCTAAGCGTGTATCACGCATGGCACATAACTGACTGACTGACACCTAGGAGCAAATGTTATGAAATAAAACCATAAATATTTTTTTAAAAAATACATAAATATTAACTTTATTTCAATATTTCTATGCAGCTTATTTAGTGGGAATCCTGTGCCTGGTGCTTTTTTTTTGCGATTTCTTCAATCTTTGGTTGAAGTGAAATAAGCAGTCTCTCATTTCTTCTTCAGTTAAGCATAGTCTTTCTCACTTCTTATTTTTGATGCTATTTAGGGTTGAGAAGCTTAATTCATTCACATCAATAAGAATTAGAAAATTGCAATAAAACTGATAAAACATTTTTAGATAATGTGGGATATTCTTTTTGTATTGAAATTCAAAATGTATCAATAGGTAACGTCGATTGTTTTATTTTGAGCCCTTAAAAAATGAAAATAGTTTTTAAAAATGAATAATTAAAACAAAATATTTAAAATAACATAATCGAAGAATAGTGAAAAGAATTATTTGAGAAAAAGTTTAATATTTTCATACATACAATAGTATGCCGTGACAATGCAGTTCATTTAAACTAGTGTGTTGCGTCATGGCCGTTGAGAATCACTGGTTTAAACAGATTTAAATAGATTATGTAGCAACCGAATTGGCATACTGAAATTCTTATTTATAATTCTCAATTTGCTTCCGTGACTTTTAATATAGTAAGAAGAAAGAACTGACATAAAAAAAATGCATTTTCCCAACTGCTACTCCCGCGTGGATACTTCCCCGAACACTTCAAGCTTAACTTTTTCAAGACAAGAGTCAATCATTATTATTGACTCTTGTCTTGAAAAAGTTAATCTTCTTTTCCTACTACTTTCTCTTGCATTCATATCACAAATATTATTCAACATTACCATTTCTACTGTAATCCTTTACTTTCAAAGATTCTCATGTGGAATTTATTTAAAAATATCTCTTGGAACTTCCTTTAACTTTGTAAAATGTATTCTTCCTTAAATCTAGAGTTATTTTATCCGCAATAGTCAAGCAGCTTATAGTCCATGGAAATAAGTAGCAAAATCCATGTTAATGAATTTTCTTTTTATTTACCTCATTGATTTAAGTTTGAATTTTTCACAACGAAGCCAATAAGACATATCATTCCTTTTTTGCTCATGTGACCTCTTGAATGCTCATTAGTGAAAGGTTATTGTGGTGAACTCTTTACACTAAAATAATGTAGGTTTAACAAATTTATGACGTACTGCTTTTGAAACACACTGAAGGTTGAATCGCCGAGTGCTCTAGAAATGTTAGTTAGAACAAAAGAGAGCAAGTGAGAATACTGAAATGTAGTATAGTTATTATTATTATTAGTAGTAGTATTAGTATTAGTATTATTAGTATTAGTATTAGTATTAGTATTATTCCAATCTCATAATCCATTGATTGTGTGCACGTTCGACACCCGGTCATACTGATATAAAAAAAACACATAGTATTATTTTATTCTACCGCAGCCAGATGCCACCCGAAAAAGAAAAAAAAAAAAAATATATATATATATATATATATATATATATATATATATATATATATATATATAATTCCTACATACCACTTAATGATTCAATAATAACTTTAGAGTTATCATTTACTGTAAAAGTTGAAAACATCTAACTTATTTATTACAATATCTCGAGGAATTAAAAATACTATTGTGTAAAAATAATGTTTCTTATGAATTCTTATATTTTTGAGACATAAACTCCAATATCAATAATCAAAAATCAACATTAAATTCTTACATTACCCACATATGCACCACATTCACTCGTAGGCTGGTTTGTCACTTGCCGGCACATTGTAATTCGTGTACATATCACTCATCACATCACAAGCAATTAAAATACGACTATTAAGATTTGATAAATATTCGTATATAATACTAAAAGGCTAACTGCAAGGAAAAGGCTCACAATACTCGAAGCTTTTACGATGATGGACAGAAAAGTTCTTAGGTTGACTACGAGGAGTGATGCTAGAGCCAGGAAATCATGAATGCGTTAATTTCAACTCTTCTTCTTAATAACTGCATAGATTCTTTCCAGGTAAACTGACTGTTCAAAGAAGACTTTAAAAATAAGTAGTAGCGAATTCTCTTGAAGATGGACAAAATTTGGCATCGTGATGCTATCAAAGATATTCATGCAGATATAATTTTTACATTAGGAGATGACTCTCAAGCGACTCTCTGAGGCGAATGAAGAAAACAGTAACCAGCGAGTAAATTCAAGCTCTCCCAGCTGGTATTTCAAACTTGAGTCGTTCCTTCCTGAGTTCTGTCTCCAAATCACACTAACTGCCCGTTCTAGCCGTCAACCGTGAACGTCCCTCGAAGAACTCGCCGACTTGGAAAAAAGTAGTTGTTTTTATAGTTGTTCATGTACCCATAATCCCTTGCGTCTTCCTGTGATCCCATAATTCATTGCGTCCATGTCCCATAATGCATTGCGTCCATGTCCCATAATGCATTGCATTGTTATTGGATAAAAATGCGATGCCAGTCCCCCCTCATTCTTTTACGTTATCCGGCCGAGGATGGATTACGTCAGAGCGGTAAGTGCTTTTTTTCTCTCCCTCATTT